GTGATCAAGCCCTACTGGTCTTTCCGTGATGAGCTTGCGGTGGAGGATGGAATCATCCTAAAAGGAAGTGAGCAGGTTCTGATCCCTGCCTCGTTGCAACGCTATGTACTCACGGCGTTGCACGCAGGCCACCAGGGGCGGGATAAGTGCCGTCTGAGAGCCAAGGCCAGCGTGTACTGGACTGGAGTCGCTTCAGACATTGAGTCCCTTGTGGCAAATTGTGACATGGGCCAGCAGAACGCCCCATCACAGCAAAGGGAGCCGTTGCTGCAGAAAGATATATCCTGCCCCATCCATGGCACACTCTGAGTGCTGACTTCTTTGAGTTGGATGGAGAGGAATACCTGCTGGTAGCAGATCATTACACTAAAGTAACTAACTACTTCGTGCGTTCAATGGGTAAATCGTGCACCAGCAAGGCCGCCGTCGCGTACTTCAAAGAGCTGTTTGGGATTCATGGCATCCCTGAAACATTGTACACGGACAATGGTCCACAGTTTGATGCCTATTGCTTCAAGGCATTTGCGAACGAGTGGTCATTCACGCACACCACATCGTTGCCAAGATATCCGCAATCGAACGGATTCATAGAACATATGGTAAAGACGATCAAGTCCACCATACGGAAAGCTAGACTAGACCAAGTAGATCCAGATCTTGCACTACTGTGCTTGCGAACGACGCCAGTCAGTGACAAGATAAAATCTCCCATGGAAACTCTGATGGCTAGAAAAGCCAAGGCCAATCTACCAGTGTGCATCAGAAACGAGCTTCCAGACAGAGACACTATCAATGCCGCATTAGAGGCCCGTCAGGTATCACAAAAACGCTACTATGATGTCAGAGCAGGTCCAGAGCGACCACTGCTCCTAGCGGGACAGCAGGTGCGCACCCAGCACCCCACTACCGGAAGATGGGCACCGGCAACCGTCGTTGGAAAATGTGATGAACCGAGATCATACATCATCGAAACGACATACGGAAGTCGACTAAGGCGAAGCAGTCGCCACCTTTCTGATCTCCATGCGCCGCAATCACAAACAGCCCAACCCATGGAGTCAAGCCAACCTCAAAAACAGGTTCGCTTTCAGGATGAGCAGCTTACGGCCAAGACAACAGCCGTCGAACCACCAGGTGCCACCCAACAGGAGCCAACCAGCAAACGTGAAGGCTTCAGCCGGTATGGCCGTAGATTGAAGAAGGCCGAGAAACTTTCTCTGTAATATTCCCATTCCAGCTTAAACTGTTATATGCTTAATTCCCTCTCGGTAAAGTTTTCAGTGACAATGGGATGTCCCAGTAATCGATTGAT